CACATGATAAATCAGGTTGAATGAGTGGCAAGTTACAACTTGTCACACAATTAATGTATTGATTGCATAATACGTGTAACATTTGCTAGGAGCCTGAGTCATTTAGGCACATTTTCAAATTTTACAATAGGTCTGTAGGAAGTGGTATAGTTATAAGAATTCTGTGGTGATCTGTTCAATGTGCCTTCAGTAGTGCTCTGATAGCACTCTTTGTATTGCTAATATAGTTTTCCTGTGATTAGCTGGCATTATGTATTCAGCTACAATTTCTTCTCTTTCATCAGTGAGCAAGATGGTCCTTGCTGCATTGGAACCAGTGAAGTCTGGCAGGATTTCAGCATTGACAAGACCCATTGTGCCCTATGAGGAGTGCAGTTTTCTGAGGGCTGTCTGCTACTGAGGCTTACAGAAGGAGATGCTAATAGATGCAAAGGCTAATAGATGCAAAGGCTCCAGAGTTTGATGCAGCCCTGAGACTGAAACAGCTCTACTGCTATTTACTGGCTTGGTAGGGAAGATTTACATGGGTACAGTTGGACCCACTCCCAGTTCATCTACTTGGTCTGGCAACAGGCTTTGCCCCATAATGCACTTCAGTGTGATGAGAAACATCCAAAAAAAAAAATCCACGCAAGTTCTAGAAACTATGCTTTTCTGCTCCCGTATTGGATCTGGATAGTCTTCCCTATAGTGTCACTACCTGCAATAAGTAACATTGTTAAATAATGGAGTGCAGTGAAAGAATCTATTTATCTAAACTGTTCAAGGTCAGAGCAAAGAATGGAATACAGTCCTGGGGAGGAGGCCTCTGCTGTACTGGGAATCAGCCACTCAGAGAAATCCAACAAAAAACAATGGACTGTCACAAAAGCATTCATGCCATTACTGAAGCATTTAAAATTGAAATAGGTTATTTGACCTTTTTTACATTTCACAGGGGATGTGAAAATATTTTTTCCCATTAGCTACAAATGATCTGATTTAATAATAAGGCTTCAGTTTACTTTGGTTTATTTGAGTGCATCTCTGATTAGCAATTCAGGAAACAGCAAAGCTGCTATTTAGCATTTTGAATTTATTATGAAAACTGGTATTTAGCTGATGGACTTTTAAATAGAACAGGCAATTTACAAAAATAAGTTATTGTCTCCAGCAGAAGACGCTGTATATATTTTATGGGTTGAGGACTAGAATGGTTTGCAACTGATTCTCTGTCTTGGGGCAGTTGATTGCATTAATTCTTTACTCTCCTTAGTGTGGGATTTTGTAGGTGTTAATTGTTGCTAATTAACTGGCTACATTAGCTAGCAACTGTGTATTGAGCTGGTACCTGAGTGAATCATGATTAATTGGTAACTGGCAACCCAGTAGCTTAGCAACCAAGCCTGCAGTAGCTCCCCACAAGACAGAGACAGTCAGTTGCACAAGCACCCATGTCATGAGTTTTGCCTGTCAGCAGCTTGAGGTGCAGTTCCCCCCAAACCCCTGCACCTATCTCCTTGAAACCTGCATGCTTCGTGGCCTGAGCAGGGGCCACCATCCCTGCAGTTTTCAGCCTGCTGCGCCTTAACACACACAGGGTCATTATGTCATGAGTGTTGCCTGTCAGCAGCTCGAGGTGCGTTTCCCCCCAAGCCCCTGCACTGATCTTCTTGAAACTTGACAGGCACCATCCCTGCAGTTTTCACCCCCCTGTGGTATAACACATAGACGTGACATGAGTTTTGCTTTCAAGAATTTGGGGTGGAGTTCCCCCCAAACCCTTTTACCGATCACCTTGAAACGTGGCAGGCTTTTTGACCTTACAGGGTTGTCACCCTCCTGTGTTGTAATGCATAGACGTGACACAAGTTTTGCTTTCAGGAATTTGGGGTCCACTTCCCCCCGAACCTCTGCACCAATCTTCTTGAATCTTGGCAGACTTCATGCTCTCAGCAGAGGCTAGCACCCCAGCAAATTTCTTCCAAATCAGACAGCAAAAACCAAAGTTATTGATTCCCCATTATACCTTATGGACGGATCTCCAAAGCGGCTCCGAAGCTTTTCCAAAACTCTTTGGAAGCTCCATACTGCTTCAGAAAGCCTAAAGAAGCCAGTGCTTTGATCTGGACATGCTTCTTCAGACACAGAAGCATCCAAAGCTTCTCCAGATCCGAAGCACAGTCCGAAGCCTCGCACAGACCTACTGAGCACCACATATCCCTGGGACAACGATTGTCAATGATTCTCATGCCTGCCCCTGCCTGCCTTGAGATCCTTTCAAGGGTGCGGCAGGGTGACACACAGTATTAGGGGACAAAGTGTTAAGGGACATACTGTTAAGTATTCAGACATAATTTACAAGATAAACCCAGATTCTTTTCAAATAGGAATCCATTCTGACCTTCTGTGGTCTTTCTGAGTTCTTCGCAACAGAAGAATTGCTCTAGTATTTTTCTTTAGTCAAAAAATGCATGAAAACTAAGAGAAAACATTTTGCAAGAGGGGCCTTGATTCTATCAAGGATTGCCTTGAGTCTAAAAATATTGAGAACCACTGCCTTAGGCTCATCCTCAGCTCCTGGGCCCTACTGCATTACATTGCCTTACCCCCTGGGACAGGCCCAAAATGCAGAAGTCAGAGCACAGAGAGGGAGTCCAGAATTTCCACCTGCTGTTGCAGCTAGAGTGATAGTGGGGAGTGGCCGAGTGGCAATATCCCATGGGGGTTGCAGCTTAAGCCTTTCTGGACTACATGCAGCCCATGGACTGCCAGCTGGACAGCCTTGGTTTATGGCATTGACAAAGCTGTTGGGTTAGAAACAAATCATGCTGAGACTAACTCTTAGTAATTTTGTTTAGCAGGCACATCTGTGGTAGAGAGTACAAGGTCTCCTCCAAAAATGTAAAGCTATCATTGGAACATCCATAGTGTAATAAAAATGCAGATCCATAGATCGACTGAAATGCACACTGAAATGCCTGATCTGCTTAAAAGCTATAGCAAGCATGCTGTCGGCAAATACAAAAAACAGGTCATCTCAGGGGCTTTGTTAATAGAATTGTTTCATAGCTGTGACTTTGCATAACTATATTTTTTGAGAGAACACAAAATTCAAAGCAACTTTTCCAGCAGCTTTAAATTACTTGTTGAAATACTGCTTGGCCACAAATCTACCATTACTGCCTTCTGAGCTAGGCCTGCTGGGTTCTAGAATCTCTGCTATTGTAATTCTTCAGTTGTCTCCTAAGTCCCTTAGGGTTGGAAGGTATCTCAAATCACTTCTCCATATTCTTTATGTATCCACCACCCCGATGGAAGGCCCAGCGATAACTGTTCCTACCACAACTGAGAGCAGCTGCGAGGCAAAGTTAAATTAACATAATCCCTGTCAATGAAACCGAGAAGCCGTCATAGAACCTGCAAGGTTGCAGTAGCAAAGATATAACCCAAACTGAAGTGTGATACATACATTGGGGAAGAGAGAGTTTAAGGATGGGCAAGTACTGATCTACTTGTTGCCCATCCTTCCACAGATCCTACTGTGAGCAGCCAGTTGGATGTAGGCATGATTCAAACTGCCACCAACTTAAACAGCAGATTGGTTTTGGTCTTATCTCTAGCTGCACACTGACAAGAAGTTGTTTTTGCTTAATGCAGCAATCCCAGATGGATAGGTGGAAATAGGCTTTCTCCTTCTCCTTCTTTTTAAATCCTGCCAGGAACTGTATTTCTTCCCTGTCACTGTGTGTGAATCTTTCACGTGCAGCTGAAAAGCTGTTAAAGTAGGTGAAAGTGAGTGTAAAAAGGAGAAACTCTGAATATTATTTTTTAACAACAGTTTAACAGCCATTAATTCACTAAGCTCATAAACAAAGAGAGTGAAGTGTCTGTGCAGAGAGGAGGATTCTCATGCACAAAAAGGAAAAGCATTAGAAGGGTGGGTGAATCAAGGGGTCAATAAACTCCAGCTTTGAGCCAACTCAGTGTACACAACTGTATAGAGTCCAATATATTGTTGTCAGAGCCAGTGCTTTTGAAGAGAATGGTATGGTGGACTTGCAGACAGGAGACATTGCCTCTGTTTCTATTTTGCTCATTGTCTATATAATAAGCTGAATTTAAGTAATGCAATAATAGCTGCTGACACCAGGCTGCCACAATTGCAAAGGTACACTTTACTGTTCTATAGCTACATCTCTCACAATTTTCAGAGCTGTGTGATAATGTCAAACATCACTGATGGCATCCCAGCCTTATTAAGTATTGAATAATACCATCAGTAAATTGATGGTCTACATAAACCCTCAAAATACAGTGGTTTGTTTTGGTCTTTTTTTAACATATCAATTGCAATTACATCAGTTGCAATATCTTTCAAACAGGGAATTAATAGAGCAGCAATATTCTCAAATGTGAAAAGAGGATAAATCAAGTGAAAAGACTAGAGTATCCATGAATCAGAGACCTCATGGCCATCTTTCTTCCCTTGCCCTGGATTTTGAAATGTTACCAGTATAAACATTATTTGAGAGTGAAATCAACCAAAAGAGATGGAAGGGAAAAAAGCCTCTTTTAATTCTTCTCCTGGCTGTCTCCCCCATGTACATGTTCAGTGATACCATTCTATCTTAAATTAGGTGAAGATTCCACCATGCCTTATAAAAGGTAATTAAAAAATAAATACAGGTTTCCCTCACTTTATGCTGTACATGCATTCCTGGAAAATGGCACATAACTCGAATTTGCATAAAGGGAGCACAGATCCACACAGGAGACTACATTTTGGTGCGCATCATATAACAAACTTTTGGCATAAAAAGGGTCATCACATAAGAGCAAATTCTCATGTACAGAACCCACATAAAGTGAGGGAAGTAATCAAGTAATAAACCAGTTATTTGTAAGTGCCACTGGAAGCAATTCGTTCTAAGCTTGGATCTGTCATCGTGAGTTTTCCTGCTTAATACATGGAGTGTTTTATCCAAACTTATCCAAGTGTTCCATTTTTGTTTCTGCAGCTTGGAACAGAGAAATCTCACCCTGGAGACAGAAATGATGACCCTTCTCGAAGAGCTGGATCAAGAGAGGAAAAAATTTACAATGGTAGAAATCAAAATGCGCAATGCCGAACGGGCAAAAGATGATGCAGAGAAGAGGAATGATATGCTACAAAAAGAGATGGAGCAGTTTTTCTCAACATTCGGAGAACTGGCTATGGAGCCTTGCAGACCAGAGACAGGCAACACTGTATGGATCCAATAAGCATTCATAATCAAAACTTTGGAAATTTGGGAAGCATTAGCTGGGTATTAGACAGCATCAGGTGGCTGGTCACCTGACTGAGGCTAGCACTCAACATAAGGTTGTAAACCCTTGAAGGAAGAAACCAAACAGAAATTAACTACCCCATGTCTGCAACGTGTACTTTCAAGTTATATTCTTTAAATGCTTCATGATGCTACTGTCAAGTGTTACAACTGGATGCGTGTATATAGATTTAAAAAATCATCCTAAAGAGAGCGAGAAATGCAGCTCAAGAGATATTTTAATGCAAGGCTTGTATTTAAATTGGTACACTGAAATGTTGCAATCAAGCTTTATATCAAGGCACTTAACATAATAAAGTATTTTTGGCATTGTGTTACCATCAGCTTATTTTGTATATCTAATTTTTTGTTGTTTTGTTTTGTTTTTGTTATCCCCTTTACTGGGGAATGAGATAAACACACACACACACACACACACACACACATATATATATATATATATATATATATATATTTATAATATTAGTTATTAAAAACAAAATATTAATGCGTGGTTGTGCTATTTGTGCCAATAGATTTGCCATGACCAAAAAAAAAATGTAAGTAATTTTATAAAAATAAAATTTTTATAGTTTGGGACTTTTCTCTTTTGAGATATATATATAAAATATCCTGGTTATGTTGGAGTGTCAGGCCCATTCTACCCACATAAAATAATGGTACACGTTCCAAAGTCCAAAAGAAGATTATCTCATTAAAGAATCTTTACCTCATGTGTACGGAGGTGCTTGGCCCCTCAAAAGCTCAGAACCCAGCTGCAGGTGCTCAGCTGCTAATAGTCTTCCTGGCTGAGAGACTAGCAACCAGCTGGATCTGATACCAGTTCAGAAGGAAGGAGCCATAAGGAGAGTTGCAAAATTCTACAAGGGGAGTTCAAAGGAAGGAGAGGATAAGTGGTGGTGCTGGGGAAAGGCACAGACCCAGAAAGATTCATGTCTGATTACCTGAAGGAAAACAGCTGCATGTTTGTTTGTACTTTCATTAGCTTATTAGCTGTGGGTTCAAAGCTGTTTCTGGAAGAAATAGAAATGTTGCATCCTGGAAAGCAGAACTCATTCCCCTATCTAAAAGAAAAATGGTAGGTTATCTGCTTAGACCACTGCATTTTTTTCCCCCAGAGTAATTTTTTCCCCCATCCTAGTTCAGTTTTTCAACAAATAAAAAATAAACATTAAAAAATATATCTGGATGAAATACATGAAAAGGGATGGTTGAATGGGAAATGCTTCATATGGTCTCTGTCTGTGATTTTTAACTAAAAACTTTTGTCCATAAGGTCTGTAAAAGAAATGAACTCAAGCTGGCCATAAAAAACTAAGAAACTGTGAGCCTAATTGAAAACCTATTGTTAGAATGAGGCTGGATGCAACTATCTGCTCTGGACTGACAGAGCAGAGCAGTGCCACTGTGTCTGAGCAGAAATGCAGCTTAGTGCTTTGTGGCTCACAAGACCCCCTGTAGCCTCCTCCACACACACCCCCAGCCACATGCTGCCTCTGTCCTGTCTGCTGTCACCTGCTATACTGTCTGCTCACCTTGAGGGCCGGCAGGGCCAAGTATCCCCAGGCAGTCTGAGGCACTGGGCAGGACAGAAACAGGTGTGGTGGAGACAGGACAGAGCTGTAAAGTGGGGAGAGCTGGTAGGTAGGGGTTCATGCTGGAGTGGGGCTGATGGGGGTAAAGTTGTGGAGTGGGCTGGGGTGAGGGCAGCATGGTGCAGGGTGCAGTTGTGGGGGCATTAGGCTGAAGGCATGAGGCAGGTTTCTGTTTTCTCAGGTTTCTGGGTGACAGGTCAAGCCAGATTTAGGAAGTTGATGTTAAATCCCCAAGTTTGAACTCAGCCCTTGTTACTGCCATGCAGGGCATGGCAGAGTAATTACTTAATTATATAATTATAAAATAATTATATTTACATTTTGTTTACAAAATGTTTGGTTGTTAGTAAAAAGTGTGTGGATAGTCAGTTAAAAAAAGAGTGGGTTAGCTCTCTGGTGTTTCTTTCAGATGTGCTGTCATGTATTTATTTGAAGGCCTCCCCAGAAAACAAGTATAACAAGTCCCAACCTCACACTTGCTCTGTTACCAAAGAACAGTGCCATTATCAGCTTGGAATTAAGTCCTTTCTCAAATGAAATACATGGTGCTCTTGGCTCGTTTGGAGCCAGCATAGCAATGTTGGATTGACTACTCCCTGAGTAAAAAATCAGTCCTCTGCAGGTGGTCCAATTACTTCTGCCCCAGGTTCTTAAGATTTGGGTAAGTGGTACATGAAATCTCATGTGGGCCATTTGTATTAGGAGTAACTTTACTCTCCCATTTACATTGGTTAAATGGAAGGAGAAAATACTGGTAGGTTATTTTGGCAATTATTTCTTTGCTTCTATTCATTTTATTTTTTTAAATTCATTTGTCCCTTTAAAATAGCCCTTTAAACATAAGAACCCACCTCTCCCATTCCACCTCACAAATAAAATCCCATTTTATAGCTATTGTTCAGTTTTTAAATCTCTGTCAGGGGGAGGGCTGAAAAATATGGCAAATCAAATAAATCTATGGGAATGCTTAACAGGGCAAATTACAATGTATAATTTTGCATATAATCTTATAGGAGGAGAGCAAAAGAATATATGCCACCACCACTTTTGCTCTGCCTGAGTCTATTACCAAGGAACTATTTTGTGAGTAACAAGATGTGATTACTGTGGAGGAGAGTTTCTAGTCTGACAGTAGATCAGACTTCTAGTGAATAGGATGCCACGTAATGTGTGCCTTAGTTGATATTAATGTTTTTGAGTGATTGTGTGGTTTGGATACTCCACTGGGAGTTGGGAACGTGAATCCTATGCACTCTACTGACCTTCTAAATGACTCTCTGGCCACACTTCTTTGTGCCTTTGTTTTCCTCACTCAGCCTTTGTCCATCTTGTCTGCATAGATGGTAAGTTCTCTTCAGAACAGTGGCTGACTGCTGTTTTGAATATATACAGCACATAGCACAGGGGGTAGATCCTAGACACTACTATGATACAGCTGATAGTAATATCACTCGAGAAGGAATGGACTTGAGGGAACATCAAATAATCCACACTGCGCTCTGCTTTCAAAGAGTTGTTTTTATTTCCAGTCACATACATAGCTTTATTGATTCACACACAGGAATTTTAAAATGTTGAATGTCTTTTTGTGTGTGTGTATGCAAGTCATTTCCTGAAGTAATTATACTTTTTCTGAAAAGTCTGGTGCTGTTTGAAGCTGAAGTTTGGAGTGGGGGAGGGAAGGGAGTCAGACTTTTACACCTCACTGCTGTAGAGGAACCGTGCATGTACCTCCTTCGCACACCAGAACAAAATCAGTCACAAACAGTACAATAAAAGACCATATGAGCTTTTATTTATTCATTTATTTTACATAAAGGAACTACATCTAGTCTCAGCAGTTGAACATTTCCCTCTTCCTCCTCCTTAACTGTTCAATGTCTGTAACATTCTGGCCCTGGCCCTGCCCTGTCCCACATCATTTGGCCAAAATTCCTGTTGTGAAGTGTAGCAGGAATATTGCCTAGCTAAGGAATGCAGTGTTGGGCTCATGTTATTGTTGTTTAAATGAGAATACAGTCATCAGTTCAGTGCAGCAGCAACGGTTGCAATTCACATAAGAGTCTTGCTTTCTAAACAAGTCCCAAACCCTATTTGGCATCCATAAATGAGAACAGGAGAAGAACATAATGCATTGTTTGCCAGCCTACACTGCTCCTACAGTACTTGATTTTGAGCTTGTAGGGAGACTTAATTCTAAGAGAAAGAGAATGTGAAAGAAAAAAGGTTGTGCTGCACACTTTCTTACCTTAATATTAGTTTAAAATCCTCTTTTTTCACTGTTAAATCCTGCAGATCTGAAGGAATAGAATTTGGTTGTCTCCCTCTCCCCACCCCAGTCTTGGAAGCTGCCTACTTCAGTCTTCTATATTTTTGTCTTTATCAGTAAGTTAAATTTCTAGGAGTTGTTTAAAATGTGGCCTTGATAGGCCTAAGGGAGAATTGTGTACACAAAGCAAAGCCTCACACTGAAAGCCTGTCAGAAAATAAATACCTTATTTCAAATTGCTGTATATGTCATGTAACACAAATCAAATTGTATGGTTATAACTCCAGAAAGTGGAATCAAAGCCCAACTAAATAGGTTTTGTTATCAAGATGATGTTCAGAAGCACACTGCAGCAAAAAGAAAAACCAACACAACCCCTGACCTCCTGCCCCCCAAAACCTAATTCCTTTGGACTCTGGAAGGAGTAAGTGACACAGTCCACTCTGTCCTTTGAATGCTGGTTTGGCCTTGTATAGTGACTGTGCAGGAACTCATTGGCCATTTCTGTGACAGACTGCCCCCCAACCCTTCCTTTATTGAAGGATGGCAAATATCTAGCCAAAGAGCTGCACATCATTAGGTAAAATAGTACATCCTTGCATAGGCTCTTCAAAGGCTTATTCTCCAGCTAAGGAATCCCACTTGATGTCCCAATTGCTATGGAATCCCACTTAGTGTCTGGGCTATAATTTGAAATTTAATTTTTTTTTGCAAGTCTTTGCTTACAGTAAAGCTGCTAAACAGTTACAACTGTATAAAATTATTTGCTTCTGATGACTGTCAGGAGCATCAGTTCCCAATGCTAAACACAGCATGGCTCTTAAAATCGGAGTTGTTCCAATAGGCCAATCAGGCCATCTATTCATTAAATTCTGTTAATCACATAGATTGGATGAAATTATTGTTCCATAATCTTAGCAACCAACATTGTTTTCTGTTATAGTTTTAAAAAGCAAAAACCCTTTCGTTCTTTCATGAAGACTTAAGCAATAGCAGTAAAGGAACTATGCTGGATCACTTATTAGGATTGAAACAGTTGTGCTCCTTGAAAGATAAAAGGACTAAGTCTAATGTCCTAGAATTATGGTTCTATAATGCTAACCATATAATGCATTCTGCCTTTAAAAAAATTCAATAGTTCCAAAATGCTGTCCAGTGAAATTTGTGCAAAAAGACTCAGTCTGAGACCCCCCCACCCCACCAACATGTTAAGCCTGATTCTGCACTGTTCCCTTGATACAAGTGCTGGTACCTTTCAGCACTGTTATACGTGTAAAACATGCCCCAAGTAAGGGAGTGAGTTACACTAATTTTTACACATTAACAACTGCTCAAGGTTCCTGGCATTAGAGCCTCAGGGTCAACTGAGAGACATTATTCATTTATTTGAAAGTGATTTTTTGCCAGGTCTTTGGCTAATAGTTTCAATATGGTTTCATATCATTAATATGCATTTCTGTGTCCTTTAAACAATGATATGGGTTCTGTACTGGCACATGATACATGTTTTATGCTATATTCAATGTAGGAGGCGACTGATATTTGGAAAAATGCACATGCGTGTTTGTTGCTTAAAAGGTCTGTCTTGAGGTCTTACAAAGAAAAAATTTGGTCTGAAAAATAATTTACATTCACTTTGAAGAATTAATTGTAAATTTTCTTCCATTAGTTATGTATTGGCCTGAATACAATCCAACTTACTCTATTATTCTGTACAAAAATAAGATTTACTCTCTTAAGTGGCTGTCAATGGAAATGTTTATTCCTTAGGTGGACCACACTTTATAATACACATTTATTAATTCCTCAGAGGGATCATACAACATAGCGGCAGTATGAATTTTATTCGCTTATCGGAAGTGTGCTATAAATAATATATCATGGATTTGTATATAATCACAATTCTAAAAGAAAACCTTCTGATATGAAAATAATATACTTCTTTAATTGGTAAGAATTGTCTTAATTGTGCTGTTCAGTTTTAAAATGAATCTCACTGACCTTACGTTTATTTACTGTATAACTGATATGTCCCTTAATTCAGTTATACTGAATTAAGGGACATATAATTCAGTAATGAATTCAGTATATATAATTCAGTAATGAATATATGAATATATATATAATATATTCAGTAATTAATATATGAATATATGACTATATTCATATGTCCCTTATTCAGTTATACTGTATAACTGATATGTCCCTTAATAGGGTTGTGCTTAAAAGTGAAGTCTATGACAGAGCCCTATGAAATTACCTGATGAATAGACTAGCATTATCCTTCTGTAGCTGAGCCCTGCACAGAGGACCGCACTTAAAATGAAAATAGGTGATAAACCAAAAGTGATTTGAACTACTCATAAAAATCAATAAGTGTATTAGAGAAACATTTAATGTATGTCAAGGTAATCTGCACCCCTTGTCATAAGATCCTTGGACCTGACTGCCATACTTGTGTATAAGTGATGACTTCCAGAAGGTGGTTGTAATTTGAATGGACCAGCTCAGCCCCTCTGTAGCTTGGCGTCATGGAGGACAGCCAGTGTAGGTTATTTCTAAGTTCCAAGGAAGATGTCACTACATCCAAGATACAGTTTCATTCCATTGTAAAATCAGTTATTCTCAAAAAGTATGGTCTTCTGAAACCGCATGTCCTATGTGAAACCACAGCGACTATGAGACTGGCATGGACCCAGAACCTTTAAACTCTGTGAATTATTTTGGGAAACAAAGACATCAGATGTGAAGTTATTCTTTCTTAAAAGATCCCTCTCTCAAGTCTGTGCTACCTTCACAAGCTAACACAGTAGTGTGGTTGAGCATAGAGAGGATAGATGCAGGGATTGGAATCCATTAAATGGATGAATTACTTGCTTCTCTTTGGAAAGTAGGCTATGTGCTAAATGTACTCTTAATCTGCCTCAGCAGATTCCATCAAATAAACAATCCTCAATTGTTTACTCTGCCAAGGCTCACTGAGGAGTAGATTGTACTTTGTTTCATGTACAGTATTATAACTTTCACTGACCTTTAAACCAAACACAATACAAGGAGGAAAGAACAAAGAAAACAAACAGAAAACTATCTGTAAGGCAACCTTTGTAGATCCACTTGAAATAATTTATCCTCAGTAAATTACAGCCAATAGTCTGTTATCTAATAACTGAACTGCCTGAAAGAGCAATGTAAGAGTTTCATTTCCATCCCAACCCCTTACCTGATGTAAGATTGCCTTGAAATAAGGTCTCACATTTATCAAGGTCTGTACCACCCTAAGAAAACCTATCATATACACGTTTCCATCTTTACCACAAGATTAAACCATTGCAGCTCAAAATAAAATACTTACAAAATCATTGTGGAGTTTTAGTCATGACTCTGGATGTTTGTCACTGGGACTCAACGTACAATGCCTGAGAAACCTGTTTCCCAGTGATATGCCTCCAATGGCCCATTTGAGGGGTTGTCATGGTTCTCTGTCCCACATGGTCTCTTTATGTCTAGCAGAAACATTTTGGGGATTTTTATTTTAAGGAAGGAAACATTAGTGAAGCTGTAGAAATGTGCTTAGTCCAAAACTGTGTCACTGCCTTAAATGTCCATGAGCATAAAAACACTGTCCAATGTAAACCATCTTGGATAAGAAAAGATCTGTTCATTGGCTGGAGCAATGAATTTGACTTTCAGTGAAGGTTTCTGAACATTGTGGCATTTAGATGAGGCCTTTCAGCCAGCTGCGCCTTAACACACATAGGGTCATCTGTGTCACAAGTTTTGCCTGTCAGCAGCTTGAGCTGCAGTTCCCCCCAAACCCCTGCACTGATTTTCTTGAAACTTGGCAGACTTTTTGGCCTCACCAGGGGCTATCACCCCTGCAGTTTTCACCCCCCTGTGTGACACGTTTTCTTTCACGAATTTGGGGTGCAGTTTCCCCTGAACCCCTGCACCGATCTTCTTGAAACTTGGCAGACTTCATGCTCCCAGAAGGGGCTACTACCCCTGCAAATTTCATTCAAGTCAGACAAAACACAACACAGTTATAGATATTTCATTGATTCCCCATTATACCCTGTGGCTGGATCTCCGAAGCGGCTCCGAAGCTTTTCCGGAGCACTTCAAAAGCTCTGAACCACTTCAGAAAACCTAACAAAGCCAGTGCTTCAATCCAGACATGCTGCTTCGGACACTATCTGAAGCACGGTCCGAGGCCTTGCACAGCCCTATTAGCCAGGCTTGGCACAAAGTCCACTCACTGTCTGACCTTTATGAGTCAGTCACGATGATAACACTTGTCTCTTGCAAATGGACAACCTGAGCTTTACAATGAAGGTAATTCCTTTTTTTGTTTGTTTGTTTTTTTGTTACAATCAATGCAAAGAAAAGCCTCCCTTTGCAAAAATAAATTAAAGCAAAATGGTTATACCACCAGACCAAAGAAACAAAAGTCTAAGTGAAGGAGTCTATTATTCCTCATAGCTAAATGAGGAAGATTTAGCTTTCCCATGAAGATGAATATGCATTATGAAAGATGAGTCATCATCTTGCAGGTCCCAGTTGAGACCCATGGTATATTAGAGCTCAGAATTTGTTTAAAGTTAAGTCTACATCTTGGGTCTGGTTTTGGTGATGTCTATGTGTCACATGGACTCCTCTCTCAAACTGTTTGCCCGTTTTAGCTAGGGACAGAAGTGACACAAACTAGTTTAAGTGATGAGAAACTGGTTTAAACCTGTAACAGAACAGAAAGCTCAGTGCCAGTTTCAAAATGGCTGAAACTGGTTAAAGATAAACCTGGTTGAATATAGCATTAGATTTAACTGACTTGGGTCAAACTGGTTTCTGAAACTTCTGTCCCAGATCCCTGGTTCAAGCTAAATCAGAGTCCCCCAGCATTACAGCATGCTTCCCAGCCCTAGGCTAGCTGGGTTGTCTGCTCCAGAGAGCAAGGCGGGCCCCACCCCTGCTCCCTAGCTGGCTCACAAGGGGTGGGGAGGGGGAGGCAAGCCTGGCTGGAGATGAGTGGGACTCTAGGGCCGGGGGATGAGGGGTGTTAAACAACCCTTCTCCTGCTCAAACTTACCGCTGGCTGCAAATGTGGACTATAAATTCCAGAGGCACCTGGAAGCAGGAAGAAGTGATGAGTAACCCTGTAGAGTCCTGCTACTGTAATTCTGGATTACAGCAGAGACCCCAGAGACCTCGGGGGTCACAGGAAGAGAACATGAACACACAGCCAGAGAGCCGTGCTCTAGCACACCCCCAGCTTCTGGCCTGACCCACTGCAGGCATGTGGCTGGATTTCCTGAATCAAAGGTAACTGTCTGTTTACTTCTGCTTCTATTTAAACTATGCAGTTTATACTAACCTGCAGAGACTGGATCAGTTCAGCCTCAGGCTTTTTGACTGTCTGTACCAAGACATTAAGATAACATTCCTTTCCATTCCCCTTGCCCCAGTCACCACTCTTAGAAGATTTTAGTTAAATCTGCAGTGTCTAGAAAATAGCCACCTGCTCCCCCTACCATCTTCCATGTTTGGAGCCTAAAATTCAAATCCAGCTTTCACTGTCCCTGCATATTATGGTGGTTTGGATTAAGTGCAGAGCTATCAGCTGTGCATGCCATAATTTCAGTGCGTCTAAGCAAGCACAAGAAGCCAGTTGAATTCCTTGCTAGTCAATGATTTACAAAGTTCAAGTTGCTTCTGTCCCTTAGATTCTGGCAGGCACAGAAGGAATATAATTGGTCTAATCTGATTGGATTTCTTTAAATCCCTCTCCCCGCAACCACCCATGATTGGATTTTGTTATTACTCTTAAAGACTTCGTCTTAAAGACTTGGTCTTACAGACTTTCCATTTAAAATTGGTGCACATAGTTGCTCATTTACAGGCTATGAGAAATAAATTAACTTTCTCTACAATACCCTTCAACGTTGTGTTCAGGGCTTCTGGAAACCAGGCCCCTAAATGATTAACAGCTCCATGCCTCCATTTCTTTTTTTTTTTTTTTTAATTTATTTAAAGGGATGTAACACTTCCGCAGTGTTAATCTTCTTCACTCAAGAAGATTAATTTTTCATGGCCATTTCTAAGAATATAGCCAAAGAGAAATACCTTAACTCTCACTCAACCTTACATAAAAAATGCGTGAATCTCCTGGGCAATAAAGCTGCTACACAGTGCTCTGGCACTATAAAGATAAATTAAGATGAAGGAATTGATTTCATAGATTGTCCACTGACTTCTGTGCCCCCTCTGCCCACATTTTCTGGAATATACTTTTCCCCCCAGTTTTCATAAGGTTCAAGGAAAAGGAACAAGAAAACAGAGGGTAGAATGAGCTTACTGTGTGTCTCTTACTGTGTCTCTTCTTGCACACCCATCTACATATAAAGCACACAGGATTCCAAAATATAACTATCTTAAATAATAAGGCTGCTACTTTGAACACAACCAGAATGTTACTTCCTAGAACAGTCAGAACATTTCATGCTAGACATAAAGGCATTTCTACAAGATCACATACATAGTAGGTGAAATTAATCTCTGTGCAGAAGGGTTTGCACAAGCTTATCCAACAACTTAATGACCCTCTTAACTGGTTAAAATAGAGCTTGAATGGTACCCAAGCCTCCTGTAGGTCCTCCCTATAATAAAAGAAGTGCAGTTTACCCATTAACACAGTGGTTCATTTACTCAGAGTCCATTTTGGACTCTAGACACCCCTCCATAATGTTTGGGATTTGACTGACAACTAATTTCAGAAACTAATTTATATATTGTAGTGCTTACCTCATTACACAGGGTCTAGGCAGTAAGGGTAGAAGATTGGCTAGGCAGTAACAAGCCTGAGCCTGGATCATCTGCTTCACATATCTACTTAGGTCCCTTTACCTTTCTTATCTCCTCGTATGTCGCAGCACCCTTCAAAGGAGCTGCCAGCACCGCTGAGTTCCCTGGTACCCTGGTTGAGAATCACTGCATTAATTACAGCCTCTTCATAGGTAAGAAGGCTTCAGTATTATAAAGCTCAAAGGTACACTGCAATGTACACTCATAGCAGTGCAATTTGTAAAGTATTTCATTCAAATCTTGCCTGTACAAGACATTGAGCACTCATTGCATTCATTGAAAGTTAATGTGCAAAAGAAACACCTAAGAGGCCACCAAGATCTATGTTGTTTCTCTACTGTGGTTTGCTATTTATCTGGACTAGGCATAAAATTAAAACAAACAAACAAACCTTTAAGTTACTAAAGCAAGGCCACCAGTGAAAAGTACCTTCCCAAGGAAAATGCTGAGAGGATTTCCCTTCTGGCACAAGAGGAAAAAAAAGAAGGATTCTCTTCTGCTTTTTTTAATAACTCAAACAGAAATGAGTCCAGTGACTCAACATTAAACCACAAAATGTTGACAAATGATGCTAAGGCCCCAACAGTCCCCTCACAACATAGACTGGGAACAAAGGAAGATAAAAAGAAAACAGTTTAAGATGAAAACAAAATGGAAACATATTCAGTTCCTTTAAAAGACATTACTTCTGTTCATCCATGCTGACTGGCTCTGGCTATCCTTTCCATCTAAGGCCCTAAAACAAGGTTGGACATTTCTCATCTTCCAGTCTTGATGCTGAACTGTTGGTTGGTTCTCTGTGCTTTTTAAAATTACTTTTATCAACACTGATGTTACTGTCCTTGTCATTGTTAGTTATATTTTGAAGTCCAATTGTGCAGAAGTACAGGCAGGTGCAATTTAGGTCTTATTATTACAGGATAGACAAGACAAGGTGAACAGTTGGTCTTGCTAATTAGGTTTTGGAGATTGGTTTTTGTTCTTGTCGCTGTAATATACTGGCCATAAGTCCCACTTACTCAATTTACTAATTATACATGAATACCTATAGACACTAATGCCTCTTGTACTTTCATCTGTTGTACATTGTTCAGTACATGACTGAAAGTCAGAGGTCAACCACATTTAAGCATCCAGTGGCCTGCTGTAAAAAAGATCTAACAGAAAGAG